GAACACCACTGCATTTTGTACCAGCTGAAGCTTCTGGGTCAGACTCAAGGGTAGGCCGCGTAGAGCAAGTTGCAGTAATCTAATCTGTGACAACCGCATGGATCACTGTCGTGAGGTCATGGGGGGAGAGATAAAGGAACCAGCTGCCCGACCAACCGAAGATGGTAAAAGGCTGATCTGGCAACACTGGTGACCTGGGCCTCCGTGGAAACTCCTCACTGCCGTGGCCAGCGTTAATGGCACCCCACCAAGGGTTGGGAGTCAGATTCCCAATCCTATCCCCCCACAACTCAGGTACAGGACTTCTGTCTTCATTGGATTCCATTTCAGCCAGCTTTGTTGCAACCAACCAGCCATGGCCTGATTTTCTGGGGTGGAGTCAGGTCAGCCATCACATCAGCAGATACAGCTGAGTGTCACCAGCATACTGATGGCAACCCAGCTCAAACCCCCAGATTAACTGGGTGAGAGAGTGCATATAGATGTTAAATAAGATTGGGGAGAGGATCGCCCCTTGTGGGGTGCCACATACCAGATACACTCTCCCCAAGCGCCATCCTCTGTTCCCAACCCTGGAGAAAGGAGGACAGCCATTGCAAAGCAGTCCCCCATATCCCCATGTTGGTGAGGCAGTGGGTCAGAAGATCATAATCAACTGTGTCAAACGCTGCTGTTAAATCGAGTAGCAACAGCAATGCCGACCCACATCAATCCAGATGCCTCCAAAGGTCATCCATGATAGCAAGAGAGATCGTTTTTGTTCCCCTTTCCACTAAGAAGTCACCTGGGGTGCCAAGTTCTCCCAAGTCCAGAAGCAGAGACTTCACGATGGTACAGAGACCCCAAACATTCACTTGTCTTTACTTCCCAAGTAACAGCTCTAGCAAAACGCTATTGAGAAATTCACAAATACAGACTTACCCTCTTTAGAGAGAATTGCATGTCTAGAATGGCCAAAGGCATCTGGAAGAAGAAGAGGAAGAAGAAGAAGGGTATCTGAGCATGTAGAACTTAACAAAATCAAATTGAAAATCTACAGTTTTAGTAGAGAGTTGCATAGCTTACCAGTTTTCAAAATGCGTAAACAGAGTTAAGAAGATTGCCAGCCTCCAGATGGGCCTGAAAATGTCCTGAAATTACAACTGACCTCCAGACTACAGAGATCAGCTCCCCTGGAGAAAAATGGCTGCTTTGGAGGGTGGACTCCGTGGCATTGCACCCCACTGAGGTTCCTCCCCAAACTCAATCATGCCCAGGTTCCACTACCACCCCCCCAAAAAAACCTCCAAGAATTTCCTACTCCAGAGTTGGCAACCCTACACGGGAGCCTTGACCTTCTCAGCAGACAATTCCACAGAATGGAGGCAACAACCGAATGCAGAATGTGTACAGGCAGATGTTGACCTTGCCTAGTTGTAGGGTGGCCTCTCCAGAAGGCCCTGCTCGGGTGAACAAAACTGTCACAGCAGATAATAGGGGGAGAGGCGGTGTTGCAGATCTGAGCGTCCAAGGACATGAAGGGCCTTGGATGTGATAGTCAGTAGCTTGAATTGAGCTTGGTAACTGATGGGCAGCCAATGGAGAGACTGCAGAATGGGTGTGATATGCATACTCTGAATCGTTCCCAATAGCAAGCAACCTCCAGCATTCTATACCAACTGGAGTTTCCAAGGTGACTTCAAAGGCAGGCCCCTGTAGAGTACATTACAACAGCCCAGTCTTGATGTTACTGTGGCATGGATCAAGGCAGGCCCCTGTAGAATACATTACAAGTACATGTTACTGTGGCATGGATCCAGGTGGCCAGATTGGCCATCTTCCAGGCTGAGTTGGAAGGAAGCATTTTTTGGTAGCTGCGTTAACTTGCTTCTCTGGCACTACTCCTTGGGCCAATATAGCCCCTAGACACCTGCCTTGTCTGTTCCGCTACCTAGGAAGTGCTCCCTTGCCGGTTTTTGTTAATAAACTGTATATAGTTAATAAAATGGCCCTTGTTTGATCCAAACTGTTGTCCGTCTCGTTATTCCGACTGTGGGGGCAAATTGCCGTGTTGGCACTTTGCAATACATAAGTGGGTTTTGGGTCGCAGTTTGGGCACTGGGTCTCTAAAAGGTTCGCCATCACTGCCCTAGACTCTTCAGTATGTCAGCAAGGGTCAGCTGAACCCCATCGGGTGGGAAGCACAATGTCCTTCAAGACCTCAGGCTTCTCAACCAGCATTACTTTTGACACTCAGAATTCAGTTCCAATTTGTTCACTCGTAGCCATTTAACCACTGCAGACAGGCAGTGGCTCAGGATCTCTACCACATCACCAGGAGATTTGGATAAGGAGATGCAGAGCTGGGTGTCATAAGCATATTGAGGACAGCCATCCTCCAAGCTACAAATGACTTGTCTTAAGGGTTTGGGGGAGAGGACCGAGCCCTATGGAACCTGGTCAACAAGCTTGGCTTTAAGGGGAGGTTGTGGGGAGGTTACTGCCCTACAGCAAGATTCCAGGTGGAGAAGGATCTGCTGCACCCACTGAACAGCATCCTGACAAATGGATGTGAGACAAGAGACAAGGCAGCCGTTTCCAGCAGGCATAACTTGTCAGCGAGGCTTCCTCGATGGATCCCATAGCCACAAAAAGGTAAAGCATACATTAAGGTACCTTTGAAATACTGATCTCTTCCAAGCTAATCTCCTGCGGGTCTTGGCCTCTTATGCTGGCAATGCCCACCTTCAGCACTTTGCCTTCATCTGGAGAGGGAGCAAAAGGTAAGGACATGGCAGGAGAAAAAGACTACGTCACTTCCAGCTGAATTACTTTCAAGGTGTGTGAAAGCCACATACCTCATCCAATCCACTAAAAGATGCCACTGTTGGGCACTGCTCAGTATACAAAATAGTTGCCAAAAGATCAGTCTTTCTCTGCAGAGGCCTAAAAATCTTTTGAGCATAATACTCTATGTTCTGCCTCAAACATGTTGCTGGGTCTTTGTATTCTTTTTTAAAGCATATATGTCTGCTAATTTGGGAGCCAGCAATAACAGTGGCTTTCCACTCTAATGCAGAGGGCCACTGCTTGATCTGAGGACCAGATGAAACAGCTCTCAGTTTTGACTGATAGATGCCAATGGCCCACTCGAGTCGGCTGTTTTGAGGTGCTGCTCCAAAAGATGCTTCCCACTGGAGTGGTTGGCAAGGGCTGGGCAAACTGAATAAAACAGATGGGGACAATGTTGATTCCCATTCTGTTTGCTGCTAGGACAAGGGTCTGTTGTGCCAAAATACTACTAGGAATAGGCCTGCCAAAAAAAAATCAAGAACAGCCCAGATGCCCCTTGAGCTTTAGGGCCAGTTGCCAGAATCTCTGTGTGTGTGTGTAAAATTCAGAAGTTTGGGCTTGTTTCCAGAGTTTTATTAATACAAGGCAGTGGCAACAGGGTTATTTTCATTTATTTCACATGTGTGGACTGTGTAATCCCTACCTGAGCACTAAAAGGCCATGTCATTGAATTCAACTCCAGATTGCTGTTTCACATGGTGCTGCAGATAGTGTTTATCTACATGTTCTGCAGTTGTCCACCTTGGGTGCTGCTAAGCTGAAGCAGAGAGGGTAGGTGGGGTAGCAACTGCAGTTTAGGGAATTGCTCTGACAGCCTTTCTCCTACACTGAAACATGAGCCACAGGACTGGAAAGCTTTTGCTGTTGTCTCCACTCCTGCCTCCTGCCAACCTAGCAGTTCGAAAGCAAGAAATTGCAAGTAGATAAATAGGTACCACTTCGGTGGGAAGGTAACAGCGTTCCGTGCACCTCGGCATTTAGTCATGCCGGCCACATGACCACGGAAATGTCTTCGGACAGCGCTGGCTCTTCGGCTTTGAAACGGAGATGAGCACCGCAACCCTAGAGTCAGACTCAACTGGCTTTCAAGCAAGGGAACCTTTACCTTTTACCACTCCTGCCATGCTCATGCTCCCCCCCCACACACACACACATCCCAACCTGGCCCCAGGTCTGCCTCCTTAACGCCTATAAACCTTGTATAAGTTTGCAGTGATGTTTCCCATGTCTAAAACCACTATTAAAGTTCTGGGTATCTGCAACCTCTCGTCTTCTAAAGCATGAGCAAGAAATTTTCAAAAATCAGTACTAACACTTTAACATTCAAGAGTCCAGCACTGCTGAATAAACATCTCTGTAATTTTTTCCTAGGTGGAACAGCCTTATGTTGAAGTTATTCCATAATTATGATCTTTTTGTTCCTTTCCACACATTTTCCTGCTGCGATATCTCTTTCCTGAGTGGGGATGGTTGGAAGAACTGCATGCTGAGTCCAAGATGTGGACTCATGAAGGGTATTTATCCAGCACTATTATGATATTTTTCTTTGTTATATTTCATTTTTGTTCTAAGAGTTGCTAACACTGTTTTGATAGCTGTGAAGTACTGAGCTGATATTTCCAGTGACTCCTATCCAAATGGAAACCTGCTGTACATTTTGTATATATAATTTTGTATTTATATTTCAGGATCTTAAACTCTCTACAGAGAAGCTGATTTTTATTAGGTGGATGCATGCTTCAGTTACGAAATGACCTTTCAAACAATTAAGTCCTTCACTTCTACTAGTGTTAATAATCAAGCAACAGGAAGAAGCAATAGCATAGAAGCATACAAATACTGCAGGCTACTGGGCTAGAATTCAAGGCCAAACCTGACATGATCGTATCACAATCATGTGTCAGAGTTGCAAATGGTTCCCTATGAAGACGCGGGGAGGGGGCGGTTATGTAAGATGCAGCATGCTCGGCTGGAAAATTGCTCCTCAGAAGGAAGTCCATCCCGTATAACCCATCCCGTAAGGAGAAAAACAGCTGGAGCAAAAGAGTTTCAGGGACAGGGGAAAGGTCAAGTTCTTCCCATCCATTGATCCATCCATGCTGTACTTTAAACTCCCTGCCGCCATCCACAGTTCATAGGGCTTCAGCATGACCCAAGTTGGGTCATGCCTATATCAAGTCTAGCTGTGCCCTAAATCCCAGCGCACCAATGCCTTGCCAAGTGAAACATTCTTATCAGGATGAACAAACTCTCCCTCCTTCCAGACCATTCCTGAAACAAAGTTAAATTAGAAGCAGGCCCCACTGAGTTCAGAGGGTCTTCTTTCCTCGTGTGCCAGCTAAGTTACAGCACAGAGTTCATCCAGTGGAAGGCATCCCAAATTTCTTAGCCTCAGCACATAATCTTAGATTCTAACCATCACCTTCCTTTGAATCACAGTGCAATAGCTATATATGTATTGCATGTTTATCTGACTCTTCCTCTAAGGAGCTTGGGATAGTATGCAGGATGTCCCACTCTCTTATCATCATCATCATCCATGGGAAATAGATTAGGCTGAGAGAGACTAAGCTTAATGGCTGAGTAGAAGTTTGAAGCCAGGTCCTAGTCCACCAGTCTAGTCTTTACATCATACTTGCTTTCGGTAGCAACTTATTGCGTAGCAATAAGCAACTCATCTAGGAAACAGGCAGCATGGGTTTCTGGAGGAACACCAGGGGCTGTTTAAAATACAGGTTTGCCAGATCTTCTTCTAGTCAGTGCTGGAATGTTAAAAAAAGCATTTCAGCTGAGGCAAGTCTTCTGTTCTTCCTAACAGGGCCAATTACTATTTTTGCCCCACTATCAGGCTTTGATAGGATTGCCAGGTCCGATTCAGGAAATATCTGGGGACTTTGGGGGTGGAGCCAGGAGCAAGGATGTGACATCACTTCCAGGCCCCCCCCCCCACATCCAGAAGGTTCCTGTGATTCCATGGTAGGAGCTTGTGCTTCTAACACAGTGGTTGCTCTCAACTCATTCTCCACCCAAGCCACACACACTGGTGCCATTTAGGATTACCAGATGAGGCTGACAGGTCGGTGGGGGACTTTCCAGGAGCCTCCAGGAGAGGGGAGGGAAGAAACATGATTGAGCTTCAAAGGGAGTTCTGGCTGTCACATTTAAAGGGCTGGTATTCCTTTTAAATGCCTTCTCTCCATTGGAAATAATGGAGGATGGGGGCACCTTCTTTTGGGACTCACAGAATTGGACCCCCTGGTCCAATCTTTTTGAAACTTGGAGGTCTATTTGGGGGGAGGCACCAGATGCTATGCTGCAAATATGATGCCTCTACCTTAAAAAGAGCCCCCTCCAGAGCCCCAGATACCCACAGATATGATTCTCCATTATACCCTATGGGGACCAGTCTCCATAGTGTATAATGGAGCACCCAGCGGACATCCCCCTCCCCACTTTCTGAGAACCCTGAAGTGGGGGGAGGGCCTCCAAAACAGGGGGATCTCTGCCCCCAATTGGGGACTGGCAACCCTGGGATTTGAGTAGGCCATTCCTGAAGGGAAGAATGAGGGGACAACGTTTCTTGCTGCACATGGAAACACACAACCTGCAGACAATGGTGAATGTTTTTTCAGTCTCCCTGTATGAGGGAACTGAGGGAATCACTCAGGAGCCTTCACAATGTTCTTGCATAGGGCTGGATCTAATACTTATTTTTCGCCAGTGGAAGTGGGACAGTATACCTATCCTCACCTTCTTTAGATTGGGGTTATTTCTTCAAATGCAGTATGTAAGAAAGACTGTGAGGCATTGTTGCCTAGGGACCCTTCTACCTGTTCCAAGGAAGAGGACATCAACATGTCCAGATGCTGTCTCCACCCTGTCCACTAAGAGTTGCTTGATCTGGAAGGGCACATTGACTCTCATCAGGACAGGTCTCCAGTGGAGTGGATGAATTGGATCCCACATCAGGTGATGGGTCCGCATGAAGCCGATCACTTCATCGGGGAAGTCCTTTGTTGACTGGAGGAGTGGGTCGTACGTTGCACTGGGACACTGACAGGGAATTAAGATGTTGAAAATGTAAGAGTGTGAACATTCAGGTTCCACAAGAAGTAGTCCTGCAATCCTGTAGTAGGAAGATGACAAAACTAATCAATTTGTGGTCTAGGTTTTTATACACTGTTGCCTATGGATATGTAAGGCACAAAATTAAAATACAACACCGGAACAGCCTCTCTTGTGCCTTTAGTTTTCCCCATGATGCCACTATCTCACGGTTCACTTCGACTGCAGTAATAGGCTGGCAGCATCTATGTGGAATATACTGCTTAAATGGGATATTTTGAATCTGATATATCTTCAGTATGCAAAAATGGTTTTGTTTTTCTGCATACAGAGAGGATCCAGGATGTTAGCAGGCCATTCCAGAAGGAAACTGAGGGAAGCATTCAGGAGCTTTTACACAGTTTTTGCATAGGGTTGGATGTAATACTTATTTTTCACCAGTGGAAAATAATTTCTGTTGGTGAAGGAAGGGGTGGGGGATGGAATTTTTACCAACTCCCCCCTCTTGCTGTGGAGTTTGACATATCCAGTGCTCTTTCTGGAGGTTCCCTGATCCCTAGAGTCAGCATTTCAGGCACTGTGGTGGGCTTGGGAGGGGGGAGGGGAAGTTCTGTTAACAGAGTTTCACTTGTAGTACTTTGGATCCAACCCATGGAATATAACTATGAAACTACACCCAGAATCTTTTCAGGGGATTCCGATTGGGTACAATGCTAAGGTGTGCCTGCTGGCTCATACCACTCTAGCAAAGCAGCAGCACATTAGCCAAGAGCCGGCTACCCAAAATCCCTTTTCATATTTGAATAAATGAACACATGAAGCTGACTTATACTGAATCAGACCATTGGTTCATCAAGGTCAGTATTGTCTACTCAGACTGGCAGTGGCTCTCCAGGGTCTCAGGCAGAGGTCTTTTACATCAGCCTTTTAGTTGGAGATGCAGGGGATTGAAGCTGGGACCTTCTGCATGCTGAACAGATGCTCTACCACTGAACCATGACCCCTTTGGTCTTTCTCTGACACTGTTTTAGTTTTATCTGTACTATACCTGATAGTAACTTGGCTGGTCCCTGTGTCAATTACAAAAGCAGCCCTAGCGGGCCATTGTCAAGCAAGTTTGGAGCCTCTACAGACTTGAGGGACTCTCTAGGTAGGTAGGCAACCCAGTATAACTAAATTTTCCAAACTGTTCATCCCTCTAGCAGTTCCTCCTGGGCTCCCTCCTTATATTGTCATAAATAATTGTCATGTCTCATTCACAGTATGGCTGAATTGTGGGCTATATTCCATTGTCTAAGTGTCTGTGCAGCAGAGAGAGAAAAGGTGAAATGAGACTTTGTGTTTTATATACATACTGTTCCAGGACGAGGATAGGGGATCCTTTCCTTATATTCTACCCACTGGTAGTCCAAGCCTTCCTTATGAGCAAAGGGCCCATTGAAAGCAGCCCGAATGGCCGCCAGGGAATAAACACACACAGCAGAGCCACTAAAAATGCCACTAGAAAGAAAGGGACGGGGACACTGATTAGCAAACCCTAAAACCATCCTCTACTAATGCTATATGTCCATGAATCAGCACACAGAACATGCATGGTGTATCTTAGGTAAAGGTAAAGGTTCCCTTGCTCGAAAGCCAGTCGAATCCGACTCTAGGGTTGCGGTGCTCATCTCAGTTTCAAAGCCGAAGAGCCAGCGCTGTCCGAAGACGTTTCCGTGATCATGTGGCCGGCATGACTAAACACCAAGGCGCACGGAACGCTGTTACCTTCCCACCGAAGTGGTCCCTATTTATCTACTTGTCATTTCTTGCTTTCGAACTGCTAGGTTGGCAGGAGCTGGAACTAGAGACAGGAGCTCACCCTGTCTTGCGGCACCCGGGTCTTGAACCGCTGAACTAGTGACCTTCCACAGCCTGCAGTTCAGCGTCTTAACCACTTGAGCCACCTGTTTTGCTTGCATCTTAAGTGCAAGCAAAACAGTAACTTTCATAAAGATTAGAAGAGAGACTGGATGTGCACAGAGGAGCCTAAATTCATTTTTATTCATGGATCTCGATCCCAAAATGCCTAGATGAGCTTCATTATCAATGTGTCTTGGAACACATGAAGAGATACAAACAGTGCTTTCTCCTGCTGCTGGAGCTGGCCAACCAGTACAAAACTTTTGTCCCTTATTAATGCTGTGACACAAAGGAAAGAAGGAAAAATGACAGAGGAGGGGGGGCAGCACTCATTGTCATTTTCTATTGATTTTATCTTCTTTTTCCCTGATAAGAAACCACCTGCCTAGCTCCTTATTAAGCCTCATCTATCTGACTGCACAAAAATTTCGCTCCAGATGTACTTCCCCCCCCTACTCCACCAAATCTGTTCAACTGCACAGAGTAATTGTACTGGACCACTGCTCAGATCTTCCAATCAGTACAACACAACTGTACCATCTACACCTAACTGAGGCACAAGCAGACTCTGTAAAATGAGACGTCGTCCTCAGTCATACAGAAGCACAGCAGACCAACGCAAAATATCTGACTGCACAAAAATTTAGCTCCAGATGTACTTTCCCCCCCTACTCCACCAAATCTGTTCAACTGCACAGAGTAATTGTACTGGACCACTGCTCAGATCTTCCAATCAGTGCCACAGTACTGACTGTACAACACAACTGTACCATTTACACCTAACTGAGCCACAAGCAGACTCTGTAAAAATGAGACGTCATCCTCAGTTATACAGAAGCACAGCAGACCAACGCAAAAGCAGTTAGCTAGTTTCCTTCATTGTGTGTGTTGCTCATACTTCTACTAACCTGGATACTGTAATTGCAAGGTTACAATCAGAATAATATATCTGCTGCATTGCAAAAAAATTAAAATTATGTATCAAGAGAAATGGAATCCTGCAGTCTACATAAATTACACAAACTGAGCACACTTGTTTTGCGTAATTTATTCTGTTTCTGTCATCGAGGAATGACAAGCTCTGTGGGGCTCTGATGCCCCACATCCTACTTACCACTGCAAATCTTGCTCAGCCTCCTGCTGCCACAATTTGTCCAAGTACTGCTTCCATGGCTATCTACCAGGCTCATAACTGACTTCCTTTATTAAAACTACAAATTGCTTTTATAAATGTTGCTGAATGCTGAGCCAATTGTCACACTTGTGCAGTGCAATCAGAGAATCTGCACAGTCCTAGTCATGATGGAGGAGAGATTATGGACAATGCAGTTATAGGTTGTAGTCAAAAGGCTAGAGTGCCCCAGCAAAGAATCTGAAATAATGCAAACTTACCCAGTTGATCAAAGTGAGTTTCAGTGCCCTGCAGACCTGGGATTGAACAAACCAGCCGGGCTTTTAGGAATGTGCTCCAACGGTTGATGAGGCTGTACTTTCCACCAACATCATTCTGCCAGCCACAAAGGAGTAAGAAGACATCTTTAATGTCCCTCATGGCCTTTTTGTGTCGAGCTCTGACTGGAAGCAGTTCTGTAATGGTCACACCTGGTTCTCTACCAATTCAAATGTCTCTACCTTCTACATTTTTATTCCATCCTTCCTCCAAGGCATGGTTCCTCCATATTTCCATCCTCCCAACCACCCTGTGAGGAAGGTTAGGGGTGAGTAGCAGGCCCAGGGGGTTACTGAGTGAGCTTCATTGCCAAGTAGGGATTTGAACCCAGGTCTCCCCCGTGTCCTAGTACAACGTAAACCACACAGTCATACTGACACTTGACCATAGAGACAGCACCTCTAGTGAAGCATTAACATCATTTAAGAAGGTCAGGACTGCCCATCCTTTTTTTGACATCTGCTGTGAGAAATGGGCGGTTTATTTATTTATTTACTTGCTTTATACCCCCACCTTTCTCCCCAAAAATGACACACAAGTTCCTTATTCTCATTCTCCTCTCCGCCATTTTATCTTCCCAACAGCGACTATTAGGCTGTTAAATAGGATAGTCTGCAAGTGTGTTGCCCAGCAAGTTTCTGTAGCAGAGCAGTTCTCTCTGAACTCTCTCAGTCCCACCTGTCTCACAAGGTGCCTGTTGTGGGGAGAGGAAGGGAAGGTGATTGTAAGCCGCTTTGAGACTCCTTAAGGTAGAGAAAAGCGGGGTACAAAAACCAAATCTTCTTCCCAGATCCTAGACCACCACAAATGCTCCCTCTAAGCTGTGGAGTCTTGTGAGCAAAAATTCTACTTTGTGAGCTACTGGCATTAAAGTTGTGAGCAGGTGATTTGGCTGCTACATGAATTAGTTTGCTCTGGAGCAGTGTTCCCTCTAAGCTGAGTTAGTGTGAGCTAGCTCACAGTTTTTTAGCCTCTGGCTCACACATTTTTGTCTTAGCTCAGGAAGGATGGTTCCAGAGCAAACTCATTTATGCAGTAGCCAAATCACTCACTCATAACTTTAATGCCAGTAGCTCACAAAATAGAATTTTTGCTCACAAGACTCCACAGCTTAGAGGGAACATTGCTCGGGAGCCATCCTTCCTGAGCCAAGACAAAAAATGTGTGAGCCGAAGGCTAAAAAACTGAGGTAGCTCACACTAACTCAGCTTAGAGGGAACACTGAACCACCACCCCAGGCAATTTTTGTCTTCTTTCATACAGACAAGTTTCCATGCATTTTTTTTTTTTAGAAGTCAACCCCAAAGAATTCAAATGGACACATCCCCAATTATGCACTGGATTGTAACTGCAGATTGGTTGTCAGTGTACTCTATAAAAGGATAATTTCACAGTTAGAATATGCCAACTGTTCTGTCTTGGGAATAACTGCTCATCTTAGATGGCCCTCATGTTCTAAGATAGAGAAAGATGGAACTTAACCTGCATGGGAAACCATAGAAAAAGTAAATATACCTTTTAATGGAGTCTCCCCATAGGCTTTTACTGGCAGCTTCTCATCTGCAACCCTAGATAAGCCCCATACTGTTTACAGTAAAGTCTTTGCGGATGCCAAGGCTAAATACTCAGAGCAGTTCTGCCAGCAGTTTCTATAGGCTAAGCAGAGCCTGAGTTGGCACCTTCAAGAGACTGCTATGGCTGACCTTGCAGACACGAGCGACCCGGGCATGGATGCGTCTTCTCTCCCACTGTCCAGCTTCTACAGCAGTTTCCCGAAAAAAGAAGTACACTTTGTCATCATCATGGTTGTAGGTGTCAGGAACGGCAAAAGCACCAATAAACACAGGTTCTGTGAAGAGGGAAATTCAGGCACACATCAACATGTTGGCAGAACAAATTATTGAGAGTCTTTTACTCCCTTCCAGTGGTCTTGATCATAAACAGCACTGATTATTGTCATGGTAGTGCTATACAAAATGGTGCTGCTATAGAAAATAGATAGGGATGTTATGGACTGTTGCTGGCTAGGAAAGAAAAGAGGTTATAATCTTGCAGGATCTGCTACTTGCAGCTACAGAAACTAGGACAGTAATAAGCTACTGTGCCAGGCTACACGGACTAATTCGTGTCTGGAGTAGCTTCGTTACCCAGCTGATGAATTCATTTTTGCTGACTGGAGGAAAGAACACTGATGGCTTGTTTATAGTATTTGCTTTAAACACAGTTGTACAAGTGAAGCATGTGTGGAGGCAAAAAGAGACTCCTACAGAAAAGCAGATCTGCTACCCCACATTATCCCAGAGAGTGAACAAGAGAGCACTGCAGTCTTTCCCAAATCTGGCTTCCAGGGCTCTTTTTGTAGCAGGAACTCATTTGCATATTAGGTGACACACCCCCTAATGTAGCCAATCCTCCAAGAGCTTACAGTAGCCCCTGTAGGAAAAGCTCTGTAAGCTCTGGGAGGATTGGCTACATTAGGGGTGTGTGGCCTAATATGCAAAGGAGTTCCTGCTACAAAAAGAGCCCTGCGTGGCACAATCTTTTTGGAAAGATCACAGTTAAAGTGTATATGTATACCTCTGTAACAAAAAGAACTATAAACTTTTTAAAAATGAAAAATGGTCTAGGTGGTTCTCAGTGTGTGGACACTGTCTCTGTCTCTTCCAGCATCCAAACTGTACTTCCTTCTCTCACACAGACACACATCTGTCCCCTCCCTTCAGCCAACAGGGATGGTGGCAGTTTCCTATTAAAGCTCATTCAGGAGAAAATCTACAGTGGTTGGAACGCACAGGAACGGAGTTCTGGCTGGCTCCTGAGTTGGCCACACCCAGCAGGAACTCATTAGCATAATAGGCCACACCCAACAGCAGAAACTCATTGGAATTGGCTACATTAGGGGTGTGTGGCCTAACATGCAAAGGTGTTCCTGCTACAAAAAAAGCTCTGGGTTTTGACAACAAGGTAAACAGAATAAGAAGCAAAAGGGGTGTGTGGCTGGATGACCACACTTCTAGTAACATGGGGGTGTGGCCTAATATGCTAATGAGTGTCTGCTGTTGGGTGTGGCCTGTTCTACAAAAAAAGCCCTGGTTAAGAGACATCATCATTCCTTTGGTGATTTAGGATAGACTAAGCCAAACTCATTACAGTATTGTGTGTAAGTGCATCATCTGTTTCCTTCTCCCAAGGCTCAGTTCAACCGTCCACCTTGTCCTGCTCCAGAACCTGTACCCAGCCCTTTATAGCTATAACTGATGTGCAAGTGGTGAAACATTGCATTCTAAAGGACCCAGTTACTGTTATCTAGAGTCACGTGGGTAGAAGCCTGAACCAAATGTGTTCAGATCCCAGCCCTATTGATGTTACATCTGAAGAGTTCCATATAGGACAATGGCAGGTCTACCACCACCTAAGGGCAGCCACCTTCTCAGCAGACTATTCCACCAACATTATCCACTTACCATTTAACCAGTTATCTTGGTTCTGTTCTGTCCGGATATAGTTCTGGTCAGACCTATCAAGCCATGTGCGGAAGAACGCAGCACTGCTTCCCATGAAGTCAATAGATGCACCTGAATAAAACTCCCCATCTGTGATAACCAAAAGAGGAATATACTGAAAGAAAATTTGTATCCATGTTTTGGATTTTTAAGGATGGCTCTTGGTCCCTCACACAAATTTTATTGAGGGAAAGGATACTGGTTAAGGAAGGCATATACGGTTGCCATCTCTCCCCCCTTCGAACTTTTAACCAGCAGATATCCAACCAGGGCTCTAGTCGGGGGGGAGATCAGTGCAAACAGAAAAGCCATTCTCACATAAAGAGGCCATCCTGCCCTGTAAAGCAAAAGCATATCAACAATTCTGGCTCCTAGATTTAATCACAACCCAGTGCCGTGTTCAAGTGATTTTCCTTCTGAGCATTTTCCTACATTGTCCTTGTGGAAACTGGTGCTCTGGGCTGTGTGTAAGGATCTGTAGAGACCTGCTGGATGGATGGTTCTGCCTTGTGGCATGGGCTTGGACCAGAGGATTCGTTAGCTCCCTTCCAGGGATTTTCTGACACGATAATTCAATGGCACTTGTTGAAAAATTTACTTTTTCTTATCTTGCCCTTATGGCAGAGGAGTCATGAGGAAAGGATTACTGCAGCAAAAGCCGCAGGTACATGGATGTACACAGAGATACAGATTCTAGAAGCCTTTGCAGGAAGCAAAGCTGGTAACATATGCTGGGTTTCTTTTCTGATTGTTTCTACCACTGCATGGTCTAGATTTCTCTCACTACCCTGTTTGCCATCCTTCTTACCAATTAGAAGTCCCGTGAAAGGCTCATGGGGGCTGTAGGGGCACTTGCCTCTCCCAGATTCAATGGAGTGAGTCACCAGCTGCATAGCTGGAAACCCTGGTTTCTGCAGAAAACCAAAGGAGAACTTTTAGTCCAAGCATAAGCCTTGCCAGGAACATCAGTGCAAACAGAAAAGCCATTCTCACATAAAGAGGCCATCCTGCCCTGTAAAGCAAAAGCATATCAACAATTCTGGCTCCTAGATTTAATCACAACCCAGTGCCGTGTTCAAGTGATTTTCCTTCTGAGCATTTCCCCACATTGTCCTTGTGGAAACTGGTGCTCTGGACTGTGTGTAAGGATCTGTAGAGACCTGCTGGATGGATGGTTCTGCCTTGTGGCATGGGCTTGGACCAGAGGATTCGTTAGCTCCCTTCCAGGGATTTTCTGACACGATAATTCAATGGCACTTGTTGAAAAATTTACTTTTTCTTATCTTGCCCTTATGGCTGAAGATGCTGATGGTCAAAGTCAAACTAAATAGTCAGGCATGCCGTGAAATTCACATGCCCAAAGCACTTACCAGAAACTTCTAATATGAATGGATTCTGCATACTGTTGAGCTGCCTGTTACAGAGCATAGCTGAAAAAGTTTTCACAGAATTGCAGCTTCATGTCAGGGGGATTTGTTTATTTGTTTTGTTGCATCAACATTACAGTGTTGGGGGTAGCAGAATCTGAGGTCGTTTAGCCCTACCGCCACCCCAACAGCAGCTGCTTATGGCTCCAATTTTATCAGGGGATCAGGAAATTGTAACAGAAGTTGGTCTTCAATCTGTACCTGCAAAAGCCTGATCAGAACTGAAGGAGGTGGTATTGAAGAGCACAACTGATTAGGTCCCCACTTTTTCTACTTGTCCTAGGTACCTTTATAAAGTGTGGTTTTTTTCACTGCCTGTAGAAAAGACAATTTCTCAGTCAGGCTTAAAAGTCACCTTAAAGACTGACACATTTATTAAAGCATTGTATTTGAGTCAAGCTGGGAGACTGAACAGGTGCCCTGCCCTCCCTACTTACTATGGAAAGGAGTGTTTTGCCTGTTCCCTGCAGATATGGGAGATATTTTACTCTCTTTTGGTCTTTTTTTTTTTGTGTGTAAGGATCTGTAGAGACCTGCTGGCTGGATGGTTCTGCCTTGTGGCATGGGGCTTGGACCAGAGGACTTGTTAGCCCCCTTCCAGGGATTTTCTGACACGATGATTCAGTGGCACTTGTTGAAAATTTTACTTTTTCTTATCTTGCCCTTATGGCTGAAGATGCTGATGATCAAAGTCAAACTAAATAGTCAGGCATGCCGTGAAATTCACATGCCCAAAGCACTTACCAGAAACTTCTAATATGAATGGATTCTGCATACTGTTGAGCTGCCTGTTACAGAGCATAGCTGAAAAAGTTTTCACAGAATTGGAGCTTCATGTCAGGGGGATTTGTTTATTTGCTTTGTTGCATCAACATTACAGTGTTGGGGGTAGCAGAATCTGAGGTCATTTAGCCCTACCGCCACCCCAACCGCAGCTGCTTATGACTCCAATTTTATCAGGGGATCAGGAATTTGTAACAGACGTTGGTCTTCAATCTGTACCTGCAAAAGCCTGATCAGAACTGAAGAAGGTGGTATTGAAGAGCACAACTGATTGGGCCCCCACTTTTTTTACTTGTCCTAGGTACCTTTATAAAGTGGGGTTTTTTCACTGCCTGTAGAAAAAACAATTTCTCAGTCAGGCTTAAAAGTCACCTTAAAGACCGACACATTTATTAAAGCATTGTATTTGAGTCAAGCTGGGAGACTGAACAGGTGCCCTGCCCTCCCTACTTACTATGGAAAGGAGTGTTTTGCCTGTTCCCTGCAGATATGGGAGATATTTTACTCTCTTTTGGTCTTTTTTTTTTGCTCCCTAATTGGAAAGTCCTTATCCCTTGCTCCTTTTTGTTTTAGTGGCACCCGAAGATGGGTGTAGAAGCACTGGCATCCCATCTACGACCCACTGCCCAAAGTGACTGCTTCATGGCAAGTCTGGCCCCATGGGTACAACTCACCTCTACTCCCTCTCTGAGCTGTATGAAGGCACACATGGGCTGGTAGGAGCCTGTTCCACAGGCAAAGATGTGGCTGCTATTGAAACGCTGCAGGAGGCGGATGAAATTCGCACATTCCGTCTAGCAAGAATAACATAGAAGATGGACAGATTTTATTTGGACACTTCTGGTTTGTCCCAGTGTTCCTAGTACAGAGCCGGTCAACAGCCCAATATCCAGATCTGGATTTAATAATACATAGCAAGTCTTGCCCTGACCTGGACGGCCCACAGTAGCTCAATCTCATCAGATCTCAAAAGCTAAGCAGGGTCAGGCCTGGACAGTATTTGGATGGGAGACGGCCAAGGAATGTTGGGGTGTGATATGGAGCTAGACAATGGCAAACCACCTCTGAACGGCTCTTGCCTTGAAAACCCTACAGGGTCACCATAAGTTGGCTGCGACTTAAGGGCACTTTCCACCACCATAACCCATATATAAACACATGTCGCTCTTTGAAAAGAACAAGAAAAAAGAATGCAAGGCTAACTTTACATCTTAGAAATGTTTTATTTCAAGACTACTTTTATCTTTAAAAGTTACCCTTAGCAGTTAAACTGACTAACACAGAAAACATGGAATATGGCCTAGGGTTGCCAACCTCCAGGTGGGGCCTGGAGATCTCCTGGGATTACAACTGATATCCAGACTGCAGAATCAGTTCCCCAGGAGGAAATTGCTGCTTCAGAGGGTGGACTCTATGGCATTATAACCCACTGAGGTCCTGCCCCTCCCCAAACCCTGCCCTCACCAGCCTCCGTCCCCAAACCTCCAAGAGTTGTCCAGTCGTAACCCTACCACAGCTAGTGCCAGGGAAGTACTAAGGAGAGAAGTGTTCCACAGAAATAAATATGTGAATAACTCCACAGCTCCACAGTTCACCAAGTCGTTAGTATCACAGAGCCCTCAGAAGCAGCTCAGCTTAAGCCATGAAGTCCCTGTGCAGCCCATTTTACCTCAGGGTTCTTCCCAGCCAATCGACAGTGCTCCATTTGCTCTACAGAGGCTGGCCAGAGGATCTGGAAAAGGAAACGCAGTCCAGGTTTTGTTACAGCAACATTGGCATTTTTTAATTTCTCCTGCCACCAATACAATAGAAAGTAGGCATACCCTTCCGGCGAACATATGAGGTTGGGTTTTGGTCAGGGCCAGCTCTGGGTTTAGAGGGGTCTGGCAAAATGACCTCCAGTGGCCCCCTCTTTAAGCACATATCAACACCACTTGCTCTCAACAATACCCTTCCTCCCAGAGGCTGGAATAAGAGTAAGACCTCTTCATATTCCATCACACAACCACTCAGCTCTAACCACGGGTGCCCCCCCCCAATCGGCTAAGGCTCTGGCAGCTACCCAGTAATGTTAATGTCTGGTGCTGGCCAGTAAATAGCTGGTAGACTAACTGGGGCTGGCCCTGGTTTTGCTTTTCCTGATGGGTTTGCTCCAATTGCCTACTTTGCTTAGGGATGTCCACAGCTAATTTTAAACTCAGCTGACTGTTTGAGCTTTACTACAAGATTTTGTTAGATCAGCGCCAGGCAATGGGCAATTCTAAACTGATATATTCAGATGAGGATTAAAATGTAAAGTTGTAATATAAGTTCTCTCCATCACTGTATATGCCAGAAATAATAAATACTGGCTGCCTCGTCACTAGCATTGCACAGGATGTACATCACCATGCAGGATGTGATGTCATCACGCCAGTGATGTCCGAGTGATGCTCTGGTATTTGGGCAAAAACACTATGGTAGAGACCCCCTCTGTCCCCCAACAGTGGTCAGGAGGGACCTGGCAACCCTAATAGGCAATGAACAGATAAACAGAACTCCAGTGTTCCCTTATTTTAGGTCTCATCTCAGGCAGACCCTTAGAATATAACAAGGAGAGGGGTTTTCCTCTCACATCTGTCCAGCCCAGAAACTCTTGGAAAAGGTCTGGCCCTTCCTCCCTGGGCTAGCCTACTAGAGATTTCCTAGGGGTACACAGACCCCTGGACTTCACCAGTGCCCTCTCTTTAGGGGCAAGGCCATGGTGAGTGAAGCTAGGCCCTCCCTTCTCCTGCCCCACCCTCCCTTAAGGTTTTAAGAGGCTGTTCTGCCTGCCTCCTTCTCTGGCCTGTGCTCTGGTGCAGCCTGCTGCCTAAGCTTCACCTCTTTTCTGAGGCATGTGAAAGGGCTGCCAGGGTTGGAGGCTGCTACCTTCTCAGATGTGGCCTTGCCCTTGCTCCCTTCCGAAGTAGGGTTGCCAGCTCTAGGTTGGGTAATTCCTGGAGGTCTTGGGAGCAGAGTCTGGGTAATGAGCTCAGCTGGGTATACTGCCATAGAGCCCACCCTCCGATGCAGACGTTTCTCCAGGGGAACTGATTTCTGTCTTCTGAAAACCAGTTGTAATTCTGGGAGATCGCCAGGTCCCACCTGGAGGTTGGCAACCCTATACCCTTCCCCTCTGGTTGGGCTGTCTACCTCACCTCAGGAGGGCTTGGCCAATGTTGTGCCCCGCTGGCAGCAGATTTGGGGGCCCAAAATCAGGGGAACATCCGCCCCCATCGGGGGGTTGGCAAGCCTATCTGCAGACAGTGAGTGAGGGGTGAGGCCGCCCACCCCCAAGCATCCAGTTATTATGTTTTATGTGGTTTGTTGTGCTAGTAAGTTTTTGGAATCAGTACTGTTTAACTGATGACTGTTAGATACCTAGAAAACTATCTGGCTAACAGTTTCCGGGATATCAAACAAACCAAGAAATACTGTGAAAGGACCCATGTCACTGAATGAAAAACAGCCAACCTCCTCCATATGCTTTTGGGAACATGGCAACCTTCTCTGGTACTGACCTTCTGAGGCTCTTTGTTGGGACTGTCAAGGTGCAACAAGAATATATGGTCCTTAGCGCCTGCCATCAGCCATGCCCTGTTCTCATCCACAAGAAGTGACTGGAATGCAAGGTCATCCTCAGAGTTTAATAGTTGGCGGGAACTGTTTAATCTGAGCAGATCTGCAAGACAGAGCATGGAAACAGTGGAGGTTTTTTCCTCCCTGGCTTTAAGAAGGACAAGAACTCAAGTGGATGGGTACTCCACTATTGCCATCTCTGGGTCTGTCCCCAAGAAACCAACTCCTTCCCCTGGCTAATGAAGAGACACAACAAACAAGCAATAGTGGTTGTCTGAGGGCTGAGTGTTCATATGTTGATTAAAGGGCCATGTCAGGCTTTCTAAAGTAGATGAGCCTGGTAAATGCACACCCAGTTTCACTCACTGTGTAAGCCACATTAGAGCTTAACTCAAGTTTCAAGTTTCAAGTTTATTAATACGGTCAAGCGACCAGCCACTGTAGAACATTTCCGAGAGGATAATAAAATACACATAAAATCAAATAGATATATAAAAACATTAAAACGGATACAGGAGCAATACAATTATCATTAAAACGCACAAAAACACGCTAATTGTCGGCAATTCACTATCTAAGATACAAGCTTCCTTTTTTTAAGGGCCTGGAAACAAAATTTTGCCACAGCTAAAGAAATCCTTTCTCTACGGTCTTCCAGCAAAAAGTTTAAAATCCTTAATTCCGCAATTTTCAACTGGACATCCAAGGGTTTAAATTTGGAGGAGCTTAACTAGAGTTACATGCCCATATGCCATCTAGAATTTTATAGCAATTTTCTATTTTATTGTATTTATTGTATTTATTGTAATTGTATACTGTTTTAGAGGTTTTAAATTGTATTTTATGGTTTGATGTTACCCGCTCTAAGCCAGCTTTGGGGACAGCGGGCTATAAAATAAATAAATAAATAAGGCAGTCCCCTGTGCCATTTTCCTAATTTGAAATGGCCCATGAGAAACTCTCAGTGGGGCAACAAGAGGACCCCTGAAGCCATTTCAAGTTGCCTGAGGGGAAGATCGAAGCCCCCTCTCTACAAGGCCTAGGTTTGGGAAATACCTGGAGATTTGGGGGGTGGAGCCTGAAGAGGGTGGAGTTTGGGGGAGGGGAGAGACCTCAGCATGGTACAATGCCATACAGTCCATACCCCTCCCCCAAAGCAGCCATTTTCTCCCAGGGAACTGATCTCCGTAGTCTGGAGATCAGTTGTAATAGCAGGAAATCTCCAGGCTCCACCTGAAGGTTGGCAACCCTAGGGCCTTGATTTGAATTGGCCCTGCATATGCCAGGGATTAAGCTCCCAGCCTAGAATTCACAATACACTCTTGATCATGTGGGCCCAGGGAGAACATGGGAGAAAACATAATATACAGCTGGGCCCTAGCACAGATAAAAAGTCTAAGCAGCCTCTCATCTAGGTCCCTTATGGGAGAAAAGTAGGGTATAATTAAAGAAAATGAAGTAGTGTAGGCAGGGGTCATTTCGTAGAAAAAGAGGTGCCGGAGCTCAATTAGCATAACTGATTTGCGTAAATTATTTGCATATGACACACCCCCTGACATCACCGGAAGTGTGTCAGAAGGCAACACTCAGCGCTCAGGCTCCACTGGACTGTTTTGGATTGCTAGCTATTGGGGAGGGGGGATGTGCAGATCTGTCCTTGCAGAGGAGGGAAAGCTTGTGCCTGAATAAAACAGGTGCCACTGGACTGTTTTGGACCAGGGGGATGGGGGGAGGCTCTGCAACTTACCTGGCTCCTTCTTGCTCTGACTGAGGGCTGCTGGGAGCAGGGGGTGGGGCTTGTTGCATGTGCCCGCCCCCTGGCCTCTTTACTGCCGGAGCTCCGCTCCTGTGCACTCCTGCAGGAAATGACCCCCGAGTGTAGGAACAATGAGCAGGAATTGGGAAGTTGTGCCTACAATCAGGCCGGGGGGGGGGGCTATACCACATAACCAGCCTTTCCTGAGTTGCCAAATGCAAAGCTCTGTTGACTATTTAGATCAACAAATGGAATCTGCCTTATATTGATTTCGAAGTGAAAGCCTCTGTTAGGGATGGTTTCAGATTTCTCATCCCTGCTGTTTCAACCTCCAAACTGCTTTTTTCTACTTTTCCCTTGTGTAAATCCATGATTCTTTCTGTTCACATCTTTTCAGTCTCCTTACACTGAATGTTCCCCATAAATGTATGCATTTTTCAATATGATTTGTCACTCAGTAAATTAGTTTTATACATGATTATACATATGAAAAAGTGTGCCATATAATTTGCATATAAAAGCCATGCAATGTGTGTATACAATACAAATGACTGCAGAACATAAACGACAAAAAGCAGAGAACTAGAGCTAGTGAGAGAAACACACACAACATGCTATACTAGCTGCCATTCATGGCGCCAAATGCCTTCCCTGGAACTCTGCCTACTACCTTCCTTCCAACCTTCTCCTGCTTAAATGTTACACTCTGCAATATCCAGCATTTCTCAAAAACACACTCTAAGGCTCTCCAAAAGCCTGAATGGATTTCCAGTCACCCTCACCAAGTTAAAACTGAAGCCTGGCTTTTCTCTCCTATTCCCATTGCTCCCTCTTATGTCTACACTTCATGTCTTAAAGACATTTTTAAAAGACAAAATGGTAAACAGGTCTTATATCTGCACCAAGCATCGAATATAGGTCTAGACCGAGCCTACAGAATGTTGTTGGGGATCAGAGATTACTACATGAAGTTCAGGGGTCAAAGGAGTAACTAGTTTCAGCCTTCTTTTTCTCTAATAAGATTACAGCACCAACAGTCCCCCAGGCCAAGCAGCCCTTATGTTGTTCAAATAATACAGAAACTCATATTACATTTTCTTCTCCCCACCCCCACCCTCATACATGGAAAGGTGAGCCTGGTCTGGTTGGTGGTTTAATATTGTTTGATGCAAATATTCTATTTTCCTTCCCGGAGGAATTCTTCTCAGCATGATACTTCTGTAGAAATAACCACTGTACTAGATATAAAGTGGTGATAGTTGTTCTGAGTCCAATTTGCAATTTGCTTTGCCCACCAAAGCACAGACTAGATGTTGGTCTGGGTGAACAGTCCTGCGGTATTTAATTTCACTGCACTTTAGTCATGGTAAGAAGTTTCCCAAATTCCTCCCCTGCCATATACTCCTTTCTCCCACATTTTCTGGCTTGAGGTTTAAATATTGTTATTAAAATGATTTGAGTGTTCACAACCATACCAATTAAATCAGAAGTGGAGAGCCAAAACGTATTGGGTTGGAGATGATGTGATGCAATAGAGCCAACAGAAGACATTTCCTTTTGTCCAATAGATTTGGAAAGTCTAGCTGATGGGGAGATGCCCAGCAGCAACTGAGAGGGAATGAAAAGGATTTGTGGATGTGGATGTGAGAAAGAATGCAAGTGACATGACAACTATTACAATTGTCTTTGAACTAACTTGTCAAAGCTTCTGGAAGAAAGCTTCTGAGTTACGTAGAACTCTTTTGCAAGGGAAACAATTAAGAATAGTTCCCAAGGGGAGGGGGGGACAGAAACAAGAATACTGACCTCCTAGTTCTATTCCTGAGAACTTTATGTCTTGCTTTCAAGTGATTTTGCTGGTGCTCTTTCTCTTAATTATTTATTCAGTTGTACTGCTGGTTTCACTACTGTCTTAAGGTTTTTGGTGATTTACTGTTTGCGGCTGCTTTACGTTTCTTATTCATACTTATTGCATAGTTTGTTGCCATTTTATTATATATATATATATATATATATAATATTTAGATAACGTGGGTACCAAATAGGTAGAATGTACAGGGTATATCTTTTTAAAAAGAAATAATAAATGCTGGCTGCCTTGTGGAGCAGAGAAAGTGTGTCCCTCCTGCCTGTATGTGAATCTTTGCACGTGTGTGTCCCTGACACTCCCCTCTGACAATCACTATGAAAGCTACCATTCCGTTGCTGTGGTGTTCTATTGTTCTTGGCTTTATTCTCTCAAGCACATCTTTCCTTTGCACTCCCTGTCTTGGATTTTCTCATTTCCTTTTGGTGGGCCCATCTGTTTCTTTCTCTCTCCCACTACTATTCTAGTCCCAGGGTGGAGAGTGTCTCTGTGGGCTTTTCTAATGTAAACCCGTCATCCTCGTGCCTTGAACTTGGCGTGATGTCTGTGAGTCACACCTCCTGCCATTGTTTTCATTGCCTCTTGGTCCTGGCAGGCTGGGAACTTCCTTTTAGCAGAGACCAAAGATTAAGAGTTTGTAGCATGCCTGGCCCTAGCACACAACAAACTTTGAAACAGCTTTGTTTTTGCCCTGCCAAAGATTCTCAGCTGCTAGTGTTTCAAAGCTAGCCAAATCAATGAATTTTATTTTGTGGGCTATTATCACCGCTGGCCTTGCCTCTGAAAAAAAATACTTCAGAGATGTTAAAATTACAATATCCACCCAATGAAGTGAAAAAACAAACTGTCAAGGTCGGATGAGTTCTCAGGGATAGACTACTTGCTCACAAAGAAGAAAGTGACAGATTATCACTTGTTGCCACTTAAAGCTCCCAGCTAAAACTAGTCCAGTGTTTCATGAATGATTTACTGTGCAATCCTAAACACAGTTACACCCTCAATTCTGCTTAGGATGCACTGTTACGATTCATTCTGGACAATGATAATTGTTTCTTACAGATTGCTTATAGATTGTCCCCAAGTCAAAGAAGTTTCTCACCAGCCACAATTGATTAACTAGCAGAAACATTAGCCTGGGGAATGAGATCTTGCAACAAACCCTGATGCCAACGCTGTTCTCATATCCAGTCAAGCATTACAGAGCCCAATAACAAAAGAGGAGTCCTGTAACTGCTTAACTAAAAAGTTTATTGTAGCAGTAGCTTCCCTGGTCTTGAGACCACCACCAAAGGCACGAAATGAATTCTCAGCAATATTTTTACACACAGAGAGAAGTATGAAAAAGGTGAGTTAGAAGGCCTGGTTTGTAACAGACATTTCCATGCAAAACTGAAAAGTACACAGATAAGCACAATGATCACTCACAGTGACCTAATCACATCAGACATACCATCTGGGCTCATTTACTGCTGATTCTCGAGCATGATATAAGCAACAATCTGTCAACAATGCCCTTGTGCTAGCTACATAGGAAAAATAGGTCAGTCTTTATGCGTATGAACAGGTAGATATAAATTTGACCTAAAATGGCAATATTTATCCAAATCCCTAGTTGCTCTGTTGGTTACAGATTTGTTTCTGGATTCAGTCTGCGGTACTGGTTACCACCCACAAATCCCTTCATGCCCTAGGATCCACATATCTGCAGGACTGCCTCTCCGAATATGTTCCATTGCAGCACCTTCATTCATCTGAGCAGAGTCTTCTGAAGGTGCCACCCTGCGAATGGTTGCCCATACCCAAGTTTTTCCTGTTGTGGCTCCCACCTGGTGGAAAGGCCTGCCTCATGAGGCTAGGAAGGTTCCCAAGTTTTTATCATTCTGCAGGATATGTCAAACAGAATGTTCAGGAGAGCCTTTTTATAAGGAGACTAGGGTCACAGTTAATAACTGTGAATTTTTAGGTAGTTTTTAATGCTATGCACAATTCAATTGAAAAGCATTCAGAGTCTATAATTTGTTCAAAATACTCACTGGCACTGACTGCCCGGATCACATCATGTAGATCACATCACCTATTCTGGCTTCCAACTAATTTCTAGGCCCAGTTCAAACCATCCAGCATATGTCAAGGACTGTCTTTTCCTACATAAATATACCCAGATTTTAGCATAGGGTTGCCAGCCTCCAGGTCGCACCTGGAGATCTCCTGCTATTACAACAGATCTCCAGGGGGTCAAGATCAGTTCCAGTGGAGAAAATGGTTGCTTTGGAGGGTAGGCTCTGTGGCATTATACGCTGACGAGGTCCCTCCCCTCCCCAAAACTTGCTGCCTCCAGGCTCCACCCTCAAAATCTCCGGCTGTTTCCCAGCTCAGAGCTGGCACCCCCGAGTTTGGCATCTTCTTCAGATGCTTTGCCAAATGTGCTTCCACTTCGTGAGATGCACTTGGTAAATGCTCAGGACAAAGCTTTTTCAGCAGGGGCACCAGACCTTGCTTTTTAGGAGACCCACCTGGCTCCCTCTGTAATGGCTTTTAGACAGCAGTTGATTTCAGAGTGCATTTGTTTTTTTAATTTTTGGTTTTTAATTTTAGTTTTTGGAACTCCTTAGATTTTTATTATGCTCCTTTGACTTTTTTTACCTTAATTGCCCCTGGCTTCTCTCATTGCTTTAGTCTCTTATTTGATTGTTGTTATTCTTCTTGTAGTGGTTTTTGAAACATAGTAGCAGCCTTGGAGCTTTAATGAAAGGTGCAGTATAATGAATCAGAATAAATAAATAAATGTGTCATATGGATGGTGTTGGCAGAATCTTCTTTACTGTCAATGGCAGAAAACTGAAAATTGCGAAATCCCTGCAACAGAAGTGCTTCTCAGAAAACATCTGGGTCACAACAAACAAGAAACAACTGTGTATGTATTGTAGTTATCTGGCAAAGACTTGAGTTCAGCTGCAAGTCAGTTGAGATTAGAATGTACATAATGTGGGCAGGAAGGGGATGAAGAGTCAGATTTACTGTTCAGGTTTTAATGAATGTGACATGAACGAATGCATCTACTTAGATACCTGATGTAGTTTGAGAGGCTTAATTTAGCAGAGGTCAAAGAATGAGGGCCTGGGATTAGTGAACATTACAAAGAGAAGCGTACAGGGGGAACCTCTAGGTCAAGTAAGAACCCTGCAGCTGCCTCACATTTTCTACAAATATCAATTAGCTGCACTACAGGTCTGGGCTTGGATCCTCGATATCCACCTGGAAGTGACATGGGAAGCTGTCCTACCTTTATAGGAGAGGCGGAGACGGGGAACTCCCTGCTTCAAGGCAGTGCAGTTCTCAACAGCCAGCAGAACAAGCCCAACGGCTAGGGCTTTGTTGGTGGCCAAGCAGCAGCATCTGCAGAGAATCCAGCTGATCATCCCCTTTCTGTTGCCAAAGGTCTTTGTTTCAGTGAGAAAGTCTTCCTCATAGGTGTAGTTTCTGTCAGGGAAATTCACCTACCACCTAAAAAACAAATGGGGGGAAATCCTTAACAGCCACATATCTACTGGCAGTACTACTGAATGGAGCTCACTTGTGTGTGGTTCCAGTTCCTTTTCATCCTGCATTTCTGATCTAGAATTATGTTGGCAACAAGCACATGTGAAGCATGGGGTACACACAGCATCACAATTAAACCACCATCACTGATTTCTTATGCTGTTTGACTGCACGGTCTTATAGCCAGATATCTGCCTTGAGTCTCAGTGAGAAAGGGAGATTACTAATAAGGTAGATAAACAAATATATCTGACTCTTGACTGTGAGTGGTGTGGAAGCGGGCAGGGATGGTGTCCACATGCCTCATCTCCACAGTGCTTGTTGCTGCCACCTTGCACCCCTCTCACACAACAACAATCATGTTGGGTCCCTCTGTGGTCCAGCAATCCTGTCTTCCCATTTCAGCTGTGATGTGAAGCTACATTGGGGTTTGTGGTGAAAAGCCAATGGACTTAGATGAGTAACTCTGCATAGGATAATACCATAAAGAAACAACAAGGAACACAAGCAGATGTCCCTGGTGAGGGCATTCCATATGCATAATGGCACCATTGCTAAACTTCCTCCTCACCTGGAGGCTGGCCACACTATTAAACAATGGCTACAGGATAGATTCAGATGGGTAGGCATATTGGTCTGAAGCAGCAGAACAAAGTTTCAGTCCAGTGGCACCTTTAAGACCAACAATGTTTTGACTTTAACTGGTCCTTCCACCCTTCACACCCTCACCCTCTACCTATATGTAATGGTTGGTGACTTCTGCTTCAATGTATCTGAAGAAGTGTGTGTGCTCATGAAAGCTTATAGCCAGAATAAAACTTTGTTGGTCTTAATGGTGCCACTGGATTCAAATTATGTTCAGTGGGACTTATTTTGGAGTAATCATGGTTAGGAAATGGCTGGAATTCTGATTAAATCTTGCTCAAATCAATGGGATTGTCTTACTTTAAGGCCATGTGTGCATGGTGCTTCGCCTTGCTTTCACCGTGCATGTCAATCAGGGTTTCTTTTTAGTTTTGCATTGTCTTTCCTCACTTCAGCACCCAGCTTGCTTTCCATTCGCTGTTTACCTGGGTTTTCTGAGAGCGCTTTTGTGCCAGTTTTCCCCTTGCTTTGCTTCCAAGCCAAAGGTAATTTAAAAGTATACAGATTCCATAGGTTCCCCCCAGCCTTTTCCCCACCCCTCAAAAGCCATTCCCATGCCCCCATCCAGGTCGTTCCACCCCCTCTGTACCTTCCAACATTCATCAGTGTGTCCCTCATTGTTTTACATTTTAATTTCTTTTTTATGAGCGGCATGAGTCTAGCGATACGAGACTACTGCTAGTCTCAGATCACTGGGGGGAGAAATTACTCCCATCTGGGCTGCCCTCTCCTGCTGCCTGGTTTAAACTGAGCATTGGGAGAAGGCAGTGCAGAGCTGCACCTACAGAGAACCATCAGCTCCCTGTAGGTACAACAATCCTGGCTGGGCTGCCCTCTCCCAACCCAGTTAAGAAAAACTGAGTTTTTGAGGTTGTAGCTGCAGAATAGGTACACTGGATAAAAAAGAATGGTGTGTACGGCAGGCACAGAATATGAAGTCAATCTTAAAGACTTGACTGCTAGATTCTCTGCAGTAAGCTGTGCGCGCGTAATAGGCCTAAATCAGTGAGATGAAGCTGAAAGTACGTTAGTTCATGCGGTTTATGAAGAAAAATGTCTGGCTGCTATCCACATTCCGCTGAAGCAAAAAGGAAAATTCAAACAGATTGATTCAAATAGTTTGCTCAAAGCCAATTTACTTTCTGCTGCTAGGTAATTTTTCTTTTCTGTTTCATGGCTGGGTCCCTTGTGGGAGGCGATCGTAACCCCAGCCATAAACCATTACCTAAATGCACTCCCAGTGGTTAAGAACAGAAACCGCTTGTCACAGAGTTTACACATAAAAGGGAGGGAGAGCAAGTATCTAATGGATAGGAAAAATCTGTAAATGATAAATCTAAGCTTAATTTAAACATTCCAGTGCAGCTTTAAACAATCAATGCTTCAAAGCTATGAGCATTTGATTTCTAGTTTGCAAGCATAAAAAAGGGGGATTTGCTAGTTCAGGAGATATTTTGAAGTTTCAGCCAAGGCTGACTGTAGAAAGTTTTTGTGTGTGACTGTCTTGGTTATATTAGTTTGAGAGGAATAAAGAATAACATTTTGAGGTAATGGCTGGGATGAATCAGAGATAATTTTTAGTGACTTATCAAAACAAAAAGTACCCCCAAACCTCAGACAAGCTACTTATCCTCAGATCTGACATTCTTTCTACCATTGCATCCTCTTTTCCTTTCTTCAGAAATAATCTAGCTGCCAGGTTAAGATTTCAAAAATAAAAGTCTCTCTGGAGCTATTGTGCTTATTTTATGATGTGCCAAGGATTTGGGTAGTTAAATATATTATGATCTAGGGAGCTACCATGCTCTAGAACAAAGAATATTCATTTCAAATTAAGGCAAGTCCTGATATAACAAGACAGGGCAAAACTATTTTGGCCTTCTTTTCATCTTAGGTCACTGCCTCTGTCCTGCGGCTACTGATGACACCATTCATTAAAGACCAGCTTATATTCCATACGGTTATAACATTCAGGATCAAACTAAACAATACGTCTGATGTAAGCTGGAGGTTCCTCCAACATGCAGTCACATGCAATGTTCCCTCTAAGCTGTGGAGTCTTGTGAGCAAAAATCCTACTTTGTGAGCTACCGGCATTAAAGTTGTGAGTGAGCGATTTGGCTATTGCATACATTAGTCTGCTCTGGAGCCGTCCTTCCTGAGCTAAGACGAAAATGTGTGAGCTGGGGGCTAAAAAACTGTGAGCTAGCTCACACTAACTCAGCTTAGAGGGAACACTGGTCACATGCATGATTGGAGGACTCACCTTGCAAAGTACGCTGTTGCCTGATATGGCTTGGGATCATGGCACAGGGGGAGGAGGAGTGTCAGCCTTCCCTCCAGCACCATTTTTCTGAGCAGAAGGGGACTGTTCACCCTGCTGCAGAGCTCCATGTTTACAGGGATCAAGCAACTGAGTACATGTGGAGCCTGACAGCAGGGCAACCTCCCCCCACCCCCCGCCCTGGCCATTTCCATTCAGGAGCCCTTCCTCCCCCTGTGCAGTGCTCCTGAGCCGCACTAAGCACTGTAGCACAGTGTGTGACTGCAAGAAGGGTTGATCCCCCCCCCACACCCAACTTGTGTCATGCCCATTTACATGGTCTACCATAGTTTGGTCTGGTCTGCCACGTGGGCCTTCCTGATCATGTGGAGAGTATCCATGCCAATGTCAGGGTACTGCAGAAACTCTCCACGGAACTGGAGGGAGGGGGATCCACATGAGAAGCCAAGGTGTGCAAGGTGAGGCATGGAAAGTCAACGGAATGAAAAGCCCTCTCGTGGGCATAACTTAACAATACAAGCTAGCATCTGCACAGCAGTATTTTCTCCAGGGGAGCGAGGCGCTTTAGAATGGGAATTGCAGCAAGGGACCAAGATGGTAGCCCAATGTGAGTTGAATGTGAGGCTGCTGCTAACTTTTTTTAAAAAAAAGAATTGCAAAAGAATGAACAGATTCAACTTCTATATCAGCACTAGTGCTTTGCCGTAATTTGCTCTCCTTCAGTGAAAATATGTTTAGGATGGGAGCGTTAATGTGAAACATACAATTTATCCTTCAGAATAACTTGGGACAAAGTACCCTTCCATTACACTTTGCCTCATATTACTTTATTTCTGGTGCCACCACTAGATCCGTGTAGCAGCTAGCCACACTGAGTGAAGACTGCGGTTGCCGTATGGTGCAGTTTGCTCATTCATGGTACCTTCTATTATCTCCCACTACAAAGTGGGAAATGCAGTACCACCCAGAAGGGTCTTCAGTCTTGACTTAATCATTAGTCTCAGCCTTACTATAACAGCTTTTCTAATGCCCATCAGCCCCAGCTTGGCTTGCAAGATAATTTGTGAAGAGCACAAAATCTGTTCTGAAACAAAGGAAAAATGTTCATTCCTCTATAAGCCCAGTTGTCACTCATTTGAAATACTGATCCAGCTCGTTCTTTTTTCAGTCTCAGAACTCTCTTCTTCATCTAATGTCCATTAGAGTCCAGCCAACTAATCTACTGATCATTTTCTTCCCTGGCATGATCAGAGCACTGTCAGTGTGATTTCAGCACAAACTTCAGGACACATCATCCGAAGCCAGTTATTTGAACTGGATTGTTTTGGCCTAGTTGTTATAGATTGTGGTTAAATAAAGAATTTTAGGCTTCTAAACAGACTATTTTTGTAATTTCTTCAAACCCAATGATAGGTTCTTATTGGCCCCAATGAATTATAGCATAGTGCTTTATAACTCCTTAGTTCCTGACTGTTTCCTAAATGATTCACAAGCTTGTGTGATCCCATTACAGTTTAGGGCAACTCAAAGAGCTAAAACATGGAACATGAAGCTAAAACACTTGACTGGAGTCAGTGATTCCAGGATGCAACTCAGGAAGCAGACAGCGGTGATAACAATGAGCAGTGTGTATATACAAAATGTAAACTTAATGAGCTGTGTAAATAAGGGGGGGAAACCCTTAAATGAAGAAAAGGCATTCCAGCTGGATCATGTATAGGCTTATCTAACAATTAGATTGTCAGTGTACAGCCAAAGAGCTCATCTGTATTTCCATTACAAAAGACATTGGCTTGACTCACATGTAATGCCAAACCCGTGGCTTGGCATTACATGAAGCAGCTTGGGCTCTCACATTACCACCTATGATTCTTTCCCTTTCATAGCAGGCCATAGTTTGCCACAACATCTGAAACCAGCAACCTATGTTTTGCACTTGTCCTCTAAACCAGAATTGGAAACCACCATCAAAAAGCGGTTTTCAACTC